ATTTTTGGATGTTGATCTTGTATCCTGCCATGATGCTAAATCTCTCAATTAGTTCCAGTAGATTTTTGACCGAGTCTCTTGGATTTTCTAGGTATTGTTGATCCTGAAAATCTTATAAGAAGACAGAGAAGATGGAAGGTGGCCTCATCCACCAAGATAGCAATGGAAGAGCAAGGAGATAGGGGAAACCACAACCCTCTGTTCAGCAGCCTAGTGAGTTAGCCATTTGTACCACCCAGAAACTGGAGAGTGCTAAGCACCCCAAATAATTTGCCTGCTTAACTTAATCTAAATTGAATGGAGATGAGGTGTTAACTATATACATTTTTAAGTTACAAACTATTGTTTGGAATCCCCCAATACTTTTCTCCTTCTCATATAGAGGGCATTTCCTGAAGTGTGGAGCATCCCATTCAAGAAAAGTGGATACCATTTCCAGACTAAAGGCCAGAAGGGTTGTCTAAAGTGGAAAGGAAGAACCAGAAGAAATGTGCTTGATTAGAAGTCATATCACTTCTAGGCTCTGTTACAGCTGAACCTAGAGTAGAGTCTGGAGCTCTGATGACAATATGAAAGAGTTTTAAAATTAAAAAATGACAGATGCACGTATAGAATATTTGGCCTGATTTTGCTTGGCATTTTAAGAAAGCCAGATTTGGGAAATAAATCTGGAAATATTTGGGGAAAAAAACGGACAGGAGAGTAATTAATGGCCATCCTTTTTAGATTGACACTCTAAACCCATATGAACACCGGTATCCTAAGGATAAGGAGACTAGATAAAACCAGATCCTGAAGTACATACTTCTTTTTCTATAGAATTCACTACTTCAAAATGTTTGCTTTGTGAGCAACTGGAGACATTTTGTGTTTGTATGTTGAGGGGGAAAAGAAAACCTGATGTTGTATTAAGGAATACCATGAAAACAGGTGGTAAAAGGATCTCTGCTTGGATTTCTCCATTGCACAATACTTGTGCACACCCTTCTTACTCTGACATTTCACCTTAAATGTTTAGAAGACCAGTTGAGTCATTCTTGCTATGATTTGGATATGGTTCAACAAATGGCATGCCCACATTAGTTATTCCGCCTACAGACTGTAATTGTGAAGCACACACCACTGGTTTTATAGCTCTTAAATGATAAACTCAAGGGATAACCTTAACTAGAACTTGTAACTTGCCAAGACAAAAGCTAAAAGGACTACACAATACAATAAAAATAGAAAACTGGTGCCATCTACTGGTTACTTTAATAAGCTCACTTTAAAAAAATCAAGCCCATTGTAATCGAGTGGATTCCAGACTCAAAGTGATTTTATAGCACAGAATAGGACTGCCTTACTAGGTTTCCTAGGAGTTCTGGTACTGTAGTGCCTAAGGCATTTGACTACTAACCAGAAGGCTGGTGGTTCAAACCCACCAGCCACTCCTCGGAAGTAAGGTTGGGCAATCTACCTCCGTAGTGATATTGCCTTGGAAACCCAAGGCAATGAATGGGAAATGCCCTCACTATGAGTCAAATCCAACTTCAAAGCTGTAAATTTTTACTAGGTTTCCAAGGCTGTAAATCTTTACAGAAGCAGACTGCCTTATCTTTCTGTGGCGTGGCTGGTGCGTTCAAATGGCAGACCTTTTGTTAGGAGTTTTATATAGTTTTCTGTAGATTTACTTCTAAGTTACTTACTTTTAATTTATTGTAAATAATATTAAGTTTATTCTCCAATTTTTTACTACTATATTAAAATGCGGGAGCTCTGGTAGCATAGTGGCTAAGACACTTGCCTGCTAACCAGACGGCTGGCGGTTGAAACCCACAAGCCACTCCTCAGAAGGAAGGTTGGGCAATCCTACTTCTGTAGTGATACTGCCTTGGAAACCCAAGGAGGGGTCGCTATGAGTCGGGTTTGACTCGATGGCACATAACAACACATAACAACAGCAACAACAACATATTAAAATGCAATTGATTTTGTCACATATAGTTCATATTGTATAACCTTGTCAAATTCATTCACTATTTCTGTAGATTTGTGGTTTCTTTAGAATTTTTTTATGTACAATGGGCATGGAAAGACCATTTTTTTTCCTTCTCATCTTTATTTCTTGCATTTCTCCTACTTGTCTTATTGCAATGGCTAAATATCCAGTAAATACTGGAATGTAAACAAACCAAACTCACTGCCATCCAGTGGATTTTGACTCATAGCGACCCCCAAAGGCTTTCTGTAAATCTTTACAGAAGCAGACTGCCTCATTGTTCTTCCACAGAGCAGCTAGTGGGTTCAAACTACTGATCTTTTGGTTAGCAGCCAAATCCTAAACCACTACACTACCAGAGTGCCTTAAAATGTTGAAAAGAGTGCTAAAAGCAGAGATCACTGCTTTGTTCTCAACTTTATAAGGAATATGCTCAATTTTTCATCCTAAAGTATGGTAACTCCATGGAGGTTTTTCATAAAGCTTTTATCAGATTGGGGAAAAACCAAAAACCATTGCTGTGGAGTCCATTCTACTGCACCATAGGGTTTCCAAGGCTGTAAATCTTTATGGAAGCAGACTGCCTCATCTTTCCCTCACACAGCAGCTGGTGGTTTCAAACTGCCAACCTTTTGGTTAGCAGCCAAATGCTTTAACCACTGCACCACCAGGGCTTCTTCTCAGATTGAGGAAACTCCTTTGTATTCCTAGTTTGCTGAGATGTCTTATCATGAATGGGTATTGAATTTTGTCAAATGATTTTGGTCCATCTACTAAGTATTTTGTTTTGTTTCGTTTATTAAGAAAATCATATCATTTTTCTCTTTTAATATGTTAACATGGTAAATTACAGTGAATGATTTTTTTAAAATATTGTACCAATCTTACATTCTTGGGATAACCTGCATATGTTGTCTTGATATATTATTCTTTCCATATATTGTTGTTTTGATTTTTAAAAAATATTTAGTCTGCGATATTTGCTCCAATATTCATGAGTTAGATATTAATCTGCAACTCCCTTTTCTTGTAGTGTCTTTCTCAGGTTTTGATATATATGTATGCTGCCTTCAGGAAACAAGCTACTTTCTTCTTTGTTTTCTGAAATAGATGATGCATGATAGGATTTCTTTCTTGTTTGTTAGAATTCACCAATGAAGTCATCTAGGGCAGAAGTTTTCTTTATAGGAAGGTTTTCTATTTCAAATTCATTTTTTTTACTAAGTACAAAGCTGTTCATATCTTTTACTTTTTCTTGGGTCACCTTGGGTGTGTTTTGTCTTGCAAGGAATTTACCCATTTAGCTAATTGATCAATGGGTATTTCCTTACTGTCTTTTAAAATGTCTAGTATTTTTAATTATGTCCCCTCTTCATTTCTTGATATTATTAATGAGTATCATGTCTTTTTTAGTTCTTGATCAATACAACCAAGGGGCTTTTAATGTTATTAAATTTTTCAAAACAACTAATGTTTGGCTTTAGTGATTTTCTCTATTACTTCTCTATTGGCTAATTTACTGCTTTTTTTTTTTTATTATTATTACATCTTGTCTTCTACTTTGGATTAATTTTCTGATTTCCTTTCCCCCCTAGCCTTTTAAGGTGATACAAAAACTTCACTTCTTTTCTAACAAAGTCTTTAAAGCTATAAACTTCCTTGTAAGACTTGCTTTGGCTGCATCCACTAAGTTTCCTATGGTGTGACTTCAGTATCATTCATGTCAAAATATATTCTTTCTCCATTTATAATTTCTTCTTTGACTTGTTGGTATAATAAAGTATTTTTCTTTTCCATTTTTGAGGATCATCTTCCTTGGTATAGAATTCTTGCTTGAGAAGTGTTTTTTTTTTTTTAAATTTCTTTCAGCAACTTAAAAATGTCATTGTCTTGATGCAAAGGTTTCAGTAGAACTCAGCCTTCATTCCTACATTGTTCCTTTCTATGTAATAGTTGGGCCTGTTGTGTGAGTGTGCACCTGTAAATAAATTTCTCTCACCCATTCTATGGTGTGTTCGTGTTGGACGGGCACACATTTCATTCACATGTTTCTTATATTAACTGAACTTGTTAGAGGATAGTAAAAGCCACAAACGAAGTCCCAGCAGTTAAGCTTTGGATCAACAGCAGAAACCACGTGCTCCCCAACGAAGCCTCCAACATCATGGCGCGAGCAGCCTGAGTGCAAACAGACTTCCTTAGAATTTCTCCCAGAAACCGTCTGGCTGGGTGAAAATGGGAGTTCCGTCCAGTCGCTACGCGTTCCGCTGCTGTCCTGATTAAAAACATCGTCTTTCCTTCCCAGAAATGAATCTTCCTTTCTCCTCCAAGGTAGTTCCTGAAGCGGAGTCCGTGCAAGACACCCAAGAAAGGCCACAGGTAGGGTCTGGGCAGCTGGGGCCACAGTTGGAGCCAGAGGAGGAAGGGTCGGAGTCAGAGCGACCCCAGTCCTGCGAGCGATCCGTAGGGCCCAAGCTAGTCTTGGTGGGGCAGTGCTCTACTAACAACAGGTCGACAACTCAGGCTACTGAGAGTAAGAAGCCTCCAATCCACACCGACTGCCTGGAGGCACCGCTCAAACTAGTCTTCCAGCGGCTGGGCTGGGTGGTAGGCTCTCATCCCTGGTTCTTCCTGCTAGGGTCCTTGCTGCTGACGGCCCTTCTCAGCACTGGCTTTGTGCACCTGCCCAAGGACAAAAAAGAAAATCTTGAGGAGCAGTACTCCCCGATTGGAAGCCCGGCCAAGAGAGAGCGGTTCTTCGTACAGGGACATTTCACCACCAATGACTCCCTTCGCTTCTCTGCCACCAGGAAGAGCACTGAATCCAATTTTGCTACCATTGTGGTAGTCTCCAACACCGCTACGCTGCTGGAACCAGACATTTTTAGTGAAATTAATAAACTGGACCGCGCGGTGAAGGCTCTGTTTGTAGTACAGGAAAACGGAACCCTCATCCAGTACCCGCAAGTGTGTGCCAAGTTCATGGGCCACTGCGTGTCCTCCAACCCGCTCCTGGCCATCTGGCAGCTGAAGAGAGACTTTAACCTGAGAAACATCACTTTCCCCATCTACAATTTCAACCATCAGTTTATCCACCTGACCCGCATCGTTGGAGGTAATGTCTTAGGCGAGAGGAAGGAAAAGAACCAGGTGCTCTTGGCGTCCAAAGCCATGAGGCTGCAGTACTACCTGCAGACCGAGCGAGCAGAGGACAACGAGAAGAGCCAGATGTGGCTGATCCATTTCCTGAACCAATTTACCGACATGAAGAAGGGGCTGGCCTTGAAGAGGATCCAGGTACCTGGCGGCTGGGATTTGGAGGGAGGCCTGGAGAGTGGGATGAGGAAGACTTGTTGCTGGGACTATAGCAATAGTACATCTGGTGCGGTGGGCCCGGTTACTTAAAGTTGAACTCAACTGCGTTTGGTACTTTCTTAGTTAATACTCCGGAAGAAATCCCAAATCCTTGGTAGCATTCTGGTTGATAACAGAAATCCTTTATGCTTCAGAGCAGGTCTGTTCAGTAGAGACATGAATCTTCACGTTTCATTTAGAGGTTTGGTTTTCTAGTCAAATTACTTTGAAATTCTTACTTTTAGCTAAGTTGTTCACTGGCCTCTAGGAGTCCCTAAAACTTGTTTGGAGTTCATTGGGATTAAAAAAAAATCAGTTAATAACAAGTTGCACTGTATTGTTTAAAAAGATAACTGGCTTGGCATTTTTCAAATTAGTCATAGATAAAGCACCTAGCATAGTGCCAGGCACATGTTAGCTGCAGTAATTATTGGGCCAACAACCCTACTAATATATCTGAATAAACCTGGTCAAACTGACACCCCTACTGGAAAAAGCCTTTGAATACCAGGCCTCCCTGAAATCATAGTGATACAATTGAAATAGTAAAAGATAACCACCCTAATAAGAAAGTTAGAAAAAGCCATAATTTCTAGTTATGAATGTAGTCCAGATTTTACAGTTTTATATAAAGTTCAAGTTTTGGACTTTTGAGTTTTAAAACTTTGAAATTTTGAAAGAAACTTTGGAAACTATGCTATGGATTTATAGAAGTAGAGCTATAGTGTCTTCTATATTCTAAGATCATAACCCATGTATTTGATCTTTTACTTAATTTTAACATGTTGTTTCGATCAATAAACTAGAGTGTTTCAATAGAATTTGTAACTCACCCACAGAAATTGAAATTACAAGTTATTTACCTGGTATTTTTGTGGCAGGCAGTCTACTTTACATCACTTTCCAGACAATTGGAATTTGAGGCAACTACTGAGAGTGTGGTCCCTTTGTTTCACTTGGCATACCTTCTAATCATATTATTTGCAATCATATCATGCTGCAGGTAAAAAAAAAAACTCTTAATTTTTTAAATTCTTTTAAAGCCTGATGACTCTTTTTATTTTGCCCATTAACAGTAGCATATAACCGAATGGAATGATAAAAAGAAATTGTGGCCAGTTCCATTTAATTTGTCATATCCTTTTTACCTTAAGTATTTCATCTTATTGTTTCACTTGGAAGGCATCTCTTTAAGAAAATAAGCTCTAACTTGTTTGAGTGGGGTATCTCCTTTGTTCTGACGTGGGGTGTACCTTATTGAGCACTTAAAAATTAATGTTTAGGCATTAGGATTAATTTGAGCTCTTGTGGTCAAAAAGCTAAAATATGAATAATATCAGCAAACCATAGAATTGAAATGTAGAAAGAACTGAAGAGACTATTTCATTCCTAGGATTCTCATCTGAGTCATCTCCAGAGCCCTAAAGTGTGTCTTCTCAGGCCTGCCTTTGTGAATCAAAGTATCTAGGGGTTAAATCTAGGAATCTACAAAAAAAAAATTTCTCCTGCAGATTCTCTTATATAAGTAGGTTTAGGATCAAATGATGTAATTTAGATTTAAGAAAGAAAAGAGCACAGTGAGTATCACTCTAAAGTGAATAAATTATAATTTCATTTTTCGGGAAAGGAAAACTACATCCCTTAGAAAACAAAGAAAAAAGCAGAAAAAGAGATCGAAATAAAGAAGCAAATAAAACTCAGTTTCACTGAATTTGGTAGATAAATATTAAAAGTAGATTTTTTTTTTTTTTTAATAGCATGGAATCTACAAGGGAGCAAGAATTGGTTTGACAAAACTTTTCTATTGGCACCCATGTGTTAATTGTCCCTTGAACAGGCACCCTGGCCGCCTAGGAGTGAGCACAAAACTCACAGTTGTTGTTAACCCAAAGGCTGGTGGTTCTAGTCCACACAGAGGTGCATTGGAAGAAAGGCCTGGCAGTCCACTTCCTAATAATAAGCCACTGAGAGCCTGGGGGGCCCAGTTCTGCTCTGATGCAGAACAGATTGATAGTCTAATCTATACAAACGGTTGTGGACAATAATGCATTCTAGTGTTGAAGAAGACAGAAAATGATTTCTATTTTTCTGGTGAAGACTTTTTATGCTTATGTAACCACCATGTTAAACAAACAGGATTCATGAAGCATAAACATAAATCAGCTTTATTTTTGGGTTTCTTTGTTCCCTTTAAATTTTGTAGGTAGAACAGGTATTTTCTTCTGTCCCATGAAAACTCAGGCAGGTCTCCGCAGTTTTGTGGCCATCTGTAGGTAATCCAAAGTCTTTTAGTCAGAATTCAAATGCTCATATCCATGTAATTAAAAAAAAAAAAATGGTAACTTGTTTTGAGCTTAATATTTTCATGACCTCCACCCTTAGCTGGAATATGCTGCATGGAGCCTTTAGTGGGGAAAAAGGGTATGCCAGGGTTCTTCTATTACTTCTTCTCCTTCTCCATATTGCTACGCTGATTCCTGATGCTCACGAAGAAGAAAGGGAACAGGAAAATCCTTGAGCCCCAGATGTTGCCATGATGATCTGACGTATGCCTTCTCTGGGCTTGAATATAAAACTGATTCTGCTTCTCTGGGTGTTTTTGTAGTTCCCTGGAAAACCCTTGCTCCCTCTCCTCCACCAGACTGAAGATCTCTTACCTGTTTTGTGGTGAGGGGCCTCTCAAACAATCTCTAAGACATCCCTGTGCTGTCTGTCTCACACACTTATGTGTGAAGTTCATGATTCACTTACCTTATTTACTTGGAGCATACTTTATTTACCTGGACAGAAACCCTTTTCATGACACATTTTAGTGAAGTCATTTGAATAATAATAAGACTTTTTCAATTGTCTGTGCTTCAAATTGAACTTCATTAATTCTCAAGCAAGTAGTACTCTATTGAGTTTCCAGAGTATTTAAAACATATCTGATATTCTAGAAATTTATAAAATTTCTGCTAAATATTAGATCTAAGCTTGATCTAAATATTAGATCAAGTTCTGGTGAAATCTTGAATACCTTTCCTTTCTCAAATACTGTCATGTGAACTGTAATTTACACATGATAGACAGCATTACCTTTCACGAAAGACGCAGTGCCTTCACCTCACCAAGCATATACACAGTTTTCTAAGTACAGTAATGTCTAATTTAGCCCTACTCTGCTTAGTGAGAAGAAAATTCAGAAAATTTGCCGGTTTGCTGCCAGTGATGCCCTAATCTGCCAAGCACTGGACTCATCTGAGGAAACTTGTGAGCATGTATATTGTGCAGCTTTACTACAAACGTACTGAATTGGAATCTGCATGGCTAGAACACAGGAAATCTAAAATTTTAAGAATTTCCTTAGGTGGTTCTGATGAATTAGTCAAATAAAGGTGCTTCTTGGAGATTTCTTGGAAACTACATCAGACTCTTATCAGTGTTCCTCTTTGGAATCTTTTATCCATTCTATTGCCTGTTGAACATTAGAAGAGAGGTCATTTAAAGAAAGCCAACACAGTAAGTAGTCAAAGTCAAGTCACAAAACCCAGTAGTAGACATGATGCAAAAATTTACCAAAAAATCAAGACACTTGAAAGAGAGAATGGGAATAAACATGTCCCATCTCACTTGAAAGGAGCTCTGGTAGCACAGTGCCTAAAGCATCTGACTGTTAACCAGATGGTTGGTAGTTCAAACCCATCAGCCACTCTGTGGAAGCAAGATTGGGCAATATACTTCTTTAAAGCCTTGGAAACCCAATGGGGGTTGCTATGAGTCAGAAATCAACTTAACGGCAATGGGTTTGGTTTTGGTTTTTGGTATCTCAATTTTATCTTCATTAATCTTTGTGACTTCAAAGTTCATCTATTTTTTTTTTTTCTTTTTTTTTACTCAACCTAAACCCTATAAACCTAACATTGTTGTTTTGAGAAAATGTTCATTGTGATCTTTTTTTATTTCAAGCTCATTTGAGGGTTTTCTAACTCTTCAGCATTGTCATTTATTTGTTTTTTTTTTTTTTTTTTTTAAATAATAAGGTAAGTTACTTTTGCTCTGGAATTTTTATGTGTGTTTTGGTGTGGGACCCTCAATTTAACTTGTAGCAGGTTGAGAGAAAGGATGCATGTGACAGTGCAGAAATTTTAATAACGGTTTAAAAATTTAGCTCTTTAAAGATAGTCTCGTCTGAAGAAGGTCTTTGGTCATGTTTCTATTTTGAAATCAGTGGCTCCAGTTCCTCAGTTGTCTCTCTTAGTCTTCAATTCCAAATGCAGTTTCTTTCTTCTGGTAAAAATATCTGGAGCAGATAAAAGTCATTTGTTTTGAAGCAGTTTCCAAAAAAAAAAAATAAAATAAATAAATAAAGTAAAATTTAAAATCAGACTTTTTGAGTATTTAAAAATCAGAATGTTGTGGTTATTAGGGAGGTAGAGCACTGAACCCATACTTTCAATTCTGTGTACCAGATCCCCAGTTCTTTTGGTCTGACAAGGAAACAAGCATCAGTGGGATCATTCAAAACAAACTACACTTCTAATTCCTTTGCAATTAATGGTAACACTTCCACAATGTCTCCTTCACCAGTAAAGGAGAATCCTGAAAATGTTTTAGAAGGAGGCTTTCATACTTTTGGTAAATACAAAATACATGGAAATAGCTTTGAAATGCAGGAGATATTTAAGATTCATTTTATGGCTCGTTGGAGTTGGGGAACAGCTGAGAAGATAACTGGACATGGGTTCTTTATCTGAGAGAGCTTACCCTCCATTGCCTGGTGTAATTTCCTTTGAAGATCACAGGAGAATTAACTATCTGCAGTGTTTTGGTGGGAGCTCTGGTGGTGTAGCGTCTAAGGCATTTGACTGCTAACCAGAAGACTGGTGGTACAAACCCACTAGCCACTCCTTGGAAGGAAGGTTGGGCAATCTACTTGCATAGTGATACCGTCTCAGAAACCCAGGGAGGTGTTGCTATGAGTCAGATCCAACTCCATGGCAATGAGTTTGGTTTTTTGGTTTGGAGTGTTTTGGTATATCTTCTGTGGTTCTGTAATGCCTGTCAATGGACCAATGTTATTCTGGCTGCATAAGAATCCCCCTGGAAAGCTTGGTAAAAGTACAGATTCCCAACTTCTCTGTCTCCTTTTTTTTTCAGTTGGTGTGGGAGCTCCCATTGCTATAGAGTCAATTCTGACTCATAGTGACCCTATAGGAGAGAGTAGAATTGTCCCATAGGGTTTCCAATGCTATAGTATTTACAAAAGCAGGTTTCCACATCTTTCTTCCATCGAGCTGTTGGTGGATTCAAACTGCAACCTTTGGTTAGCAGGCAAATGCTTAAGTCTGCACTACCAGGGCTCCTCTCAAAACTCAAAACTCACTACTTTTGAGTCGGATCCAACTCATAGTGACCCCTCCTTGGGTTTTTGAGGCAGTATCACTACGAAAGTAGATTGCCCAACCTTCCTTCCGAGGAGAGGCTGGTGAGTTTGAACCATCAGCCTTCTGGTTAGCAGTCAAATGCCTTAGGCACTATGCCACCAGAGCTCCTAAGGCCTGGGAATTAAAGGTCTCCTGTAGCCAAATATTAGAACTGTTGCCCTAGAAGTTTCTGAATAGGCTTTCAAGACAAGAATGTTATGATTTGGTAGACATTAAGTATGGAAGCTACCACCACAAGTTCCATGATTTTTCCCTCCTAATTTACAGGTTTGACTGTGTACAAAACAAAATGTGGGTTGGAGCCTTTGGAATGATTTCTGTTGCCTTGGCAGTAGTGAGCGGCTTTGGCCTGATGTTGTACATTGGCGTTCCATTTGTGACCATAGTTGCAAATTCACCATTTCTTATTCTAGGTGAGTAAAACAAATATGTGGGGTAGATTATGGAAGGAGTTTATGTCAGACTGAGGAAAATAATTATATTTAGGTAGGTCTATAGAGGACCAAAATGAGGTGGCAACATACGGGAGAAATAAATTGGATTCTTCATGAATGTCTTTATAGTTGGAAGAATCTATTGTCCCAATGGAAAAATGGACAAAGGACAAGAATGGGCAGCTTACACACAAAAAACAACATACAAGTTGCTTAAAATGTAAGAAAAATATTTCTTGACTGCTGAAATAATCGAAGGATGCAAATTAAACCAAAGTAACACACTTTGTTTTCACATTAGATTAACAAATATGAGCTAAATGGAAGGAGTTTGGAAAGTTGTGTGCAAAAACGAATGCCCTCCTGTTTAACTGGAGGGAGTGTAAATTGGTACACACTTTTTAAGTCCAGTTTTGCAATAAATAAAAAGCTTAAAAAGTGAATACCTTTCACCCACCAATTACACTCTAGGGATTTATACTAAATAATTGAACAAGTGCTCAAAATATAGAATAAGTATGTTCCTTTTGGTATGATTTAGGGTAGGAAAATACTGAAAACAGCCTAATCCTTTATCACTATTGGATTGGTCAAAATCAAACATACATATTAAAATATTAGCTGGCGGTTCAAACCCACCAGTCACTCCTCAGAAGGAAGATGGGGCAATCTACTTCCGTAGTGATACTGCCTCGGAAACCCAAGGTGGGGTCGCTATGAGTTGGGTCCAACTCGACGACACATAACAACAACAACAACAACAACAACATTCAGTTCTTAAAAAGAGATAGATATATAATGTTATAGGAAACTGCAGGTTATGAAATGAGATGTTTGAAATACAGAGAGAGAGATAGCTATATGTGCCTTTTGCATAAAATAAATCCTGAATGGTTAGACATCAAAATGTAAGCTAGGATTAGCTCTGAAAGGTGGAATTATACTTGTTTTACATTTTATTTTTGCATTTTTCTGTATTTTCAGAATTTATTTTAAATTTAACATGAGAAAACAAAAGTGCTTATATTTTGGAAAATAAGCAACTTGGAAGTAAATATTATTTGGTTCCCTGGAGGAGAAAGTGGATAAGCTGTGTACTAGGTGTCAGTTTATTTATTCTAGCTCTTCAGGGCACACATTCCTAGTATACATATTTACTTCAGCACTCAGAGTACACCAGAACTAGTGTGTTTGTGTATGTGTGCAGTTTCAATAACTCAAGCAAGAAATTGCCAAGACAGTTTTTGAACAAGGGTCTATAAGGAATAAAATTCATTTTTAAATACCTAACAAGAATCAACAAGTTAATTCTTTTGTCCTTAGTGCTTCTGAATCTTCTCTTTTGTCAGGCTGAGCACAGTTGGACTCCTTAAAGCTAGAATCTCTAAAGCCAGGGTGCAGCTTATGACAGACTACATAGACTTTGCCAGTGTACATCCTTCAACCTTGATCTTATCCATAGAACATTTGAAGTAGGGGCTACGTTGCAATTCCTAGTGCCCTTCCCAACTCTGGCATGCAATCCATGAAGATCTTAACAGACTTGAGATTCAGATCAGCATTCCTAGTACAGGTTTTGTATCAATATAAAGAAAAGCAAAAGTGTAGGCGACTGAAGATTGTGTCAGTCATAGTAAACATTTGAAGGAGGTGACATGCTCATGCTATCCCTTTCTTCTTGGTTGTCCTCCTTTCCCAGTCTTCAGTGATGAGTGTCTTCAAATGTTCTCCTGTTTTCTCTATTCCAAACAATCATGAAACATGATTGTGGAGAAGAGCTAAGTATCCAATAGGTAGGTGTTGATATATAAAAGATTTTTAAAGTTGACTTGGATGCATGTTTCTGATATCAGGAATATTTGCATTTTAATGAGACAATGTCTTAACCTGGGCAAATGAAGTTTGAATAATAGTATTCCAGGTATCAAAAACAGACTAGAAGGAAAACTATGTGTGTGTGTGTGTGTGTGTGCAAACTGCACAGTGCCTTTCAAATCATGCCACAGAGATTTGTTGTTGTTGTTAAGTGCCGTCGAGTCGTTTCCGACTCATAGCGACCCCATGCACAGCAGAATGAAACACTGCCCGATCCCGCGCCAGCCCCACAATCCATGCTATACTCGAGCCCATCATCGCAGCCACTGTATCAATCCATCTCCCTGAAGGCCTCCCCCTCTTTCGTCGACCCTCCACCCTACCAAGCATGACATCCTTCTCCAGGGAATGGTCCCTTCTGACAACATGACCAAAATAGGTGAGACGAAGTCTGGCCATTCTTGCTTCCAAGGAGCATTCTGGCTGCACTTCCTCCAAGACAGATCTGTTAGTTCTTTTAGCAGTCCACGGTACTTTCAGCATTCTTTGCCAGCACCACAACTCAAAAGCATCAACTCTTCTTCAGTCTTCCCTATTCATTGTCCAGCTCTCACATGCATACCAGGCGATTGGAAATATCATGGCTTGTGTCAGGCGCACCTTAGTCCTCAAGGAGATATCCTTGCTCCTCAGCACTTGAGACAGTTCCTTCGCAGTTGACTTCCCCAATGCTACACATCGTCTAATGTCCTGACTGCTGCTTCTGTTGGCATTGATTGTAGAACCAAGCAACGTGAATTCCTTGACAACCTCAATCTTCTCCACAGAGATAGCCACATGCTAATTGTAGAATATATAAAGCCAGCTTATGTTTTAAGCAACATGATAGAAGAAAACAATCTCTCAATCTAGTGGAATCAAAGATACACTGTTAATACTGTTTCACCTTCCACCCAGCAAGCAGGTCATCTGATCTCATCATCAAAATACCCTGAGTATCCTGTGCTAATGCACAAATAATAGGAGTATGTACAAAACATAAAGTTGTTACAGAGGAAGGAGTGATGGATTCTGTTGTAGATTCCAAGGCAATCAGCAGAAGCATCACAGAAGGTGGTTGGGCATGATAAATAAAACCTTAACAGATGGACAAAGAAAATGGTTTGAACCAATCTGTATAATTTTCACAATATTGTTATGGATGAAGTTTCAGTTTCTTTCTTTTCATAGGTGTTGGGGTCGATGACATGTTTATCATGATTTCTGCCTGGCAGAAGACCAACCTCATGGATAACATAAGACAGCGGCTATCTAATGTCTATTCAAAGGTGGCAGTATCCATTACAATCACCACCATCACCAATATCCTGGCCTTCTATACAGGAATTATGACCTCTTTCAGGTCCATACAATACTTTTGCATCTACACAGGAACAACCCTGCTCTTTTGTTACTTTTATAACATCATCTGTTTTGGAGCAGTTTTGGCCCTGGATGGTAAAAGAGAAGTCATCTGTCTAAACTGGTTGCAAAAGCCAGAGTCTCCTGACCAAAAGTGCTTCTCTTTGAAAAGGGCCTGCTGTGTCCCACTTGGTTCTCTCCCAGATGAACACGGAAGTGGTATCCATCCTATTAATTTGTTCTTTAGAGACTATTTTGGCCCTTTTCTCATAAGCACTAAGTCCAAATTTTTTGTAGTGCTGCTATACCTTTTGTATATCATAAGCAGTATATATGGGTGTTTCCAAGTGCAGGAAGGTTTAGATGTTCGAAATCTGGCCAGTGATGACTCCTATGTCACACCATATTTTGATGTAGATGAAGAGTATTTTTCAGAGTATGGCCCCATGGTCATGGTTGTTGTTACTCAACATGTTGACTACTGGAATCAAGATGTTAGGCAAAAATTGGAAAAATGTATGATAGAGTTTGAAAACAATGAGTATGTAGCTAAAAATCTCACAGAGTTTTGGTTAAGAACGTATGTACAATACATGGAAGAAGCAAGACAAGATATAAATGATCAGAATACTTTTGTAAACAATATTCCCATATTTTTAAGGAATTTTTCAAATTTTATTTATGATATTAATATTACTTCATCAAATGAAATAATTTCTTCCCGGGCCTTCATTCAGACCAGAGGTATTTCTTCTCCATCCAATAAGAAGATAATGTTACAACAGTTTCGAGGCATCGCTGGAAAGTGTGAAGTTCCTCTATTGGTATATAACCAGGCCTTCATATATTATGATCAGTATGATGTCATAGTGGAAAACACTATTCGAAGTGTCATAGTTGCATCACTGGCTATGTTAATTGTTTCTCTACTGTTAATTCCTCATCCAGTGTGCTCCTTGTGGGTAACTTTTGCTATTTCCTCTGTGGTTGTGGGAGTAACAGGTTTCATGGCATACTGGAATGTAAACCTTGATTCCATATCCATGATGAATCTTGTCATTTGTATAGGGTTTTCTTTCGATTTTTCTGCCCACATATGCTATGCATTTGTTTCCAGTTCTAAGCCCTCAGAAAACCAAAAAGCAATTGAGGCATTATATCTACTAGGCTATCCAGTGTTACAAAGTGCAGTTTCAACAGTAATAGGGGTGTGTGTTTTATATACGTCTAATGCATACATCTTCAGGACATTTTTTAAGGTTATATTTCTTGTTATGGTGTTTGGGGCTATTCATGGCCTAATTTTTATTCCAGTATTCTTAACCATTTTTTGGAAACTTTGGTTGAATGTGCACTAACAGATCAAAGATACTTACAAAGAATTCCTGATTGCCCTAATCTAATTGGATAAAAATGCACTTTTAAGAATAGTCAATAAACTTAAACCAAAGGCATGTTTCCTTGACCTGGAGTCCCATTTTTAAATGTTATTTAAAATATCCTGAGACAAATTAGTCTTACATTAAAATATCTTTACTAAATTAGGAAGTGTTGTCATCTTTATTATAGTCCAGTATAAGGTATACGTTTCCACTTATTTTTTTCCTTTATTCATTAGAAGTTTATGCCTGGATTCAAGAATTTTATATATTGTTTTTACTATAAATAGATTATTTTCATTGTACTTCCTACATGGATTATTATGTGGAACTACAACTTCTTACTTATTCTCTCAGTGGCTTTTTTATACATTTCCATAATGGTATTTTTGATGAGCAGAAGTTTTTAAAGTTGATAAATGCAATTTATCGATTTTTTTTATAGTTAGTACTTTCTGTCTAAAAAATCTTTGCCTACTCCAAAGTTAAAAAGTAGTTCATCTATGTTTTCCCCTCATAGCTAACCAGTTTTAATTTTTACATTTATGTCTATGATTCACCACTAATTAATTTTTGCATTTGTTGGAACACAAATACTTGGATAAAGTTTCATTTTCTTCCAATAGTAGTTATCCAGTTGTTCCAGGATCATTTTTGAAAATATCCTTTCTACATAGGATGAACGTGGTACGTTTTGTCAAAAAATCAAGTGGCCATTTATGTGCTCTATTTCTGTTCTGTTGATCTGTTTGTCTACACTAAGGCTAATACCACACTGCTGATCACTGAAGCTTTGTATTAATTCTTGAAACTAGGCTGTATAAGTTGTCCTTCTTTTCCCAATTGTTTTGGCTATTCTAGGTCCTCCACAGTTACGCATTAAATTTAGAAGCCCTTGTCAGTTTCTCAGTTGGGGATCTTGATTGGGATCTGATGAATGTACAGATCAGTTTGGGGAAAATGGTATCTTAGCAATATTGAGTCTTAGGACCAGCGACATGGTTTATCTCTCTGTTGATTTAGGTCTTCTTCAATAACTCAGAAATATATGTTCTGTAGATTTACCTCAAAGTATTTTATTTTTATGACATTATAAATAATATTAATTCATTTTTCAATTGGTTACAAGTGTATAAAAATACAACTGATTTTGGTATACTTCATGCTGTGTAACCTTGTTAAATTTATTTACTAGTCTTGTAGATTTTTGCAGTTTCTTTGGTGTTTTTTTATGTAGACAATCATGTAACAGGCATAGGAAGACCATTTAGTTTCTTTACTTATGATCTTTATCTCTTGCATTTCCCTTACTTGCCTTAGATAAAACTTCTAATAAAATGGTGAAAAGGGTGCTAAGACCAGACATCATTGCCTTCCCCAGCTTTATAGGAAATATATTTATATTTCATCATTAAGTGGAGGGTTTTCCTATAGGTCTGTTAGATGGAGTAAGCTCCTTTCTACTCCTAGTTTGCTATTTTATAAGGAATAGGTACTGAGTTTTGAAAAATGATTTGTGTTCACCTATTAATATTTTATCATTTTCTCTTTTCATTTGTTGATATGATAATTGAGATTGAATTTTTTTTTTTTTTTTTTTTTAGTATTACATGAACCTTACATTCCTGGTATAACTCACATTTAGTCACTGGTAGCATAGTGCCTATGGCACTTGACTGCTAATCAGAAGGCTGGCAGTTCAAACCTACCAGCCACTCCTCAGAAGGCAGATAGGGCAACCTACTTTCATAGTGATACTGCCTCGGAAACCCAAGGAGGGGTCGCCATGAGTCAGATCCGACTCCATGGCAGTGAGTTTGGTTTTTGGTTTGTTTAGGATCTTTATAGTGAGATCCCTCTTCAGTTTTTGATATTGGTAATTTGTTATCTTTTTTATTTCTTCATCGGTGCAGCCAAGGGGTTAAATTTTTCAAAGAACCAATGTTTGTGCTTGAACAATCTCTCTTAGAAAGATCAGCACAAGGCTGGTCCCCATGAGGCGGAGGTTCAAGATGTCTCAAATGTCCAAACTACCGTGCTACTCCATCATCTCAGACATTAACTCCTCCTCCTCCTCCCAGTAATTTCCCCCGTCTTAGGGTTCTATGTTTTGTTGTAATGCCTCACAGAACTCAGACACCCAAGGGATCATCTCACATTAGTAGTGGTGGAGGCTGGAAGGCTGGCGAATCCCAGGTCTGTGAGTGGGTCTGGAGGATCCTCCCAATTCTCGGGGTTTGATGAACCTCAATCAGAGATCAGATGATGGCTGCTGTCCCAAATCCAGGGGTGAGATGAGGATGAGCCAAAACACAGAACCGGAGCAAGAGGAGGGCCAGCCTTCCCAGGAGATTCGTAGGTATACACTCAAGGAAGCTAAGGGTGGTGATTTGCTTGAGTCCAGCAAGGCAGGACTCAAGATACATTCCACCTGTGTTGCTCCAACAGAAGTAACCCAAGTGGATGGCTTTAACAATCAGCAGCTCAAGGCAAATCCCACCAGCGAGCCGATTGCCAATCATTATAGGCAACTACTACTACCAGTTGCCCAGCCAGGTTGACACCTGATCTTAACTGCCACACCACCCAAAACAGGCATGGATAATAGGATTTACAATACATCACAGAATGGAGGACAATGACTAGAAAGGCCACATCAAGCAATTCACTGCAGTTTGGCTCTATTGATTTTCTGTATTTCTCTAATTGTTAATTCACTAATTGCTGCCTTTATTACTTCTTGTCTTCTACGTACTTTGGTTTAATTTTGTGATTTTTTTCTGAGTATTTTAAGAGGGTACCTTAGAGCATTAATTTTATACCTTTCTTCTTTTCTAATAAAACCTTTAAAGCTACAAATTTCCTTCTAAGGACTGCTTTGGCTGCATCAACAAAGTTTGCTAAATTGAATGTTCATTATCACTCAATATGTTCTTATTTCCTTAGTGATTTATTCTTTGACTCATGGATCAAAGATTGTCTTTGTTTGTCTTCATTTTTAAAGGATAATTTCTCTGAATACAGAATTCTAAGTTGAGAGGGTTTTATTTGTTTTTTAATTAAGCACTTTAAAGATGCCATTGCATTTTCTTCTTGATGCAATACTTTAGTAAGAATTTAGCATTGTTCCTCTATGTCTTTTTCAGAAGCTCTGGTGGTACATTCTGCTGCTAACCTTTGGTTAGCAGTTTGAACCCACAAGCTCCCCCATGGAAGAAGGATAAGGCAGTTTACTTCCATAAAGATTTACAGCCTTGGAAACCCTATGGGGCAATTCTATTCTGTCCTATAGGGTCATTATGAGTCAGAAGTGGCTTGATGGCAGTGATTTTGGTTTGGGTTTATGTCTTTTTCTTCCTTTCTAATGCCTTATTTATTTATTTATTTTTAAATCCTTCATTTTTGTCAGTCTGACAGATTGGCTTAGGTATGGTGTTCTTTGTATTTAAAGGTTTTTTTGGGGGAATTTTTTTTGAGTTTCTTGGATCTGTGGCTAGATATTTTCCATCATATGATGAAAATTTTCAGCCTTTATTTCCACCCACCCTCCTTTTTCTGTTTTGCCACACTTTCTCTTCTCCTTTCATTCTGGGATTCCAATTAGTAATATGTTCTTGTTATTTTCAGTTATTACATAAAATTGTCTGCAATATTCTTCAGTTTTGCATTGTATGGTTAATAAATTTGAATTTGTTGAAACTTTCAGTGGACTCTTCTCTGTAGCCATAATATTTGAGAAAATACACTTTCTATAGATGCTGTAATTCCTGGTAAGTGCAGGAAGAAATTCTGCTATGTAAAGGTTATTATTTATGCTTTTTGTATAGTGATATAGTTAAATATCCAGCCCAAATAGTTTAATCTGAACTTTTAAAATTTCATTTAGAAAATCATTCTTAAATATTTTGTATTTAACTTATTTTATAAAATAAGTTGTCTCTATTTTATTATTTTGAATGTTTTGCCAAGCCAAATATAGATGTGGCAAAATAATACATCTTTTTCAATTTCAGTTCACTCCAGTTACTGTATATAAATTTGTCCAATTAAAGACAGAAGCTCCTCAAAATATTCTCTTCACAAGTTAGGAAATTCCAAAGCACAATTACGGAATTTCAGAATTAATGTTTGAGCTCTCTTTGTTTAACTTGCCCCCACCCTCCCTCCCTTTTCTAGTGATAAGTTTTAATGGCTTCCTATTTACAAACTGGGAGCTCTGGTAATGTAGTGCCTAAGGTACTTGACTGCTTACCAGAAGGCTGATGGTTCAAACCCACCAGCCACTCCTTGGAAGAAAGGTTGGGCAATCTACTTCTGCAGTGATACTGCCTTGGAAACCCAAGGAGGGGTCCTATGAGTCGGGGCTGACTCGGCACATAACAACAACAACATAGTAATAGTCTGGATTTTCTTTTGTCCTGGTACACCATCTAGCTAGTTTGTCTTATAGTAAATGAAGTATTATTATTAATAGTTGAATTTTAATGAGCCTAGATTAGACCCTGATTTTTACTTTCAATTTCTACCATGGTCTGGTCTAGTGATGTGTATGACACAAGTGTCGTGAATGGAGTTCTTAATTTAGTATGTGGTTAACTCTGAAAGTCAACTAGTGATAATTTACCTCTTTTATAGATCCTTTACAAATACTGTGTAACTAATATCTATGTTTTAATTTAGTGGGCAGAGTGCTCACTGAATAAAGTAAAGTGTGTGCTCATACACCAGTGCTTAAGGACATCTATCTCTTCATTGGATTCTCTATTAGTAAAGCCATACTAGCCACTTTAACAAGTTAATCCCAATATTCCTGTGGCATATCACAATAGATGTATGTTTCTCATTTATCCAACAGTAATTCTGGTTAGCTATCTTGCCTATAGTGATTCAGGGACCCATGTTCTGATCAACCTATGTGACACCACAATTCAAATGGACTCCACTATTACCTATGTCAAGGAGCTCTGGTGGCTCAGTGC